ACAACCAAGCTGGGAATGAGAGACACCTATTAACCAGCTTGAGGGGGAATGTAGGAAATAACCGCATTATCTTTAACATTATCTTCTAGAAGTAAGTATTATCTCCTAAGGATTATGACCGGTTAGGGCTAGGGATCATGTGATTATCTATTTCCTAGATTCTAGGTGATCGGCTAACAATAGAATTAGGGATAAGTTCTTTTCTCCAATGAGTTTATCTAACTCGTGTATATATATAGCCCTTTAGTGGCTTGTGTAAATTATTAGAATTAATAAAATATTTTTTCCTCATTCTTTTCCACATATAATTTATCTGCATGTGTTACTTTCAAAGGGATCAATGGTCATGATATTAATACTAGTTTGTTGAATTGTCGTGTCACTCTGTAGCTTGAAATAGGTAATTTCTATAATTTGATTCCTTGGCCTTCAAGAAAATGCTTAAAATTGTGTCATTTGAGAGCATTTTTAATATCCTAGTCCAAATATGTACGTTCTTGTAGTCAATTCATGGATTCAATAATCAGTTTACGCAGAGGGAAAAATAAGTTATCAAGAAGAACATATTAAAGAAACATAAAGAGTTCTTTTTTTTATAACAACAAGCCTTAATCCTAACTTAATTGGGGTTGGCTATATGGATTTCACTTTTCTACATGGCTCTGTTCGAAATTAAACTTTCCTGAAGGCCTAGATCTAGAATGTCTTTCCTAACGACTTCAGTCCACGTAATTCTTGGTCTACCCCTCCCTCTCCTAGTATTAGGTATAAGAATGTCCTCCCAAGCACGAACTGGTGCTTCTAGCAGTCTACGTTGGACATGCCCATACCACCTCAAGCGGCCTTCGCGCACCTTATCTTCTATTGGTACTATACCTACTTTACTACGAATAACTTCATTCCTTATGCGATCTATTCTCCTATGGCCACTCATCCATCTTAACATATATATTTCTGCCACACTCATCTTAGATATATATTGTCTCTTAATGGCCCAACATTCACTAACATATAAGATAGCTGGGTGGATTACAGTCCTATAGAACTTTCCTTTCAACTTAATATGCATCTTGCCATCATATAAACTCCCGTAGCATTCTTCCCTTAACCCACCCTGCCTTAATTCTATGTTGAATATCCTCTTCTATATCTCCTTCGTACTGCACTATAAACTCAAGGTACCTAAACTTCCTAGAAGTCTCAATCTCCCACCATCTAAAGAAATTCCATCACTCTGATTACTTGAGTTACTAAACCTACAATGCATGTATTCAGTTTTCATCATGCTTAACTTAAACCCCTTCATCTCGAGAGTCTGTCTCCACAGTTCTAACTTACGGTTAACTCCTTCCCTATGTTCATCAACTAAAACTATATCATCCGCAAAAAGCACCAAGGAACTCTATCTTAGATTTCTCTTGTCAGCTAATCCATTATGATGGTGAAAAGATAAAGACTAAGAGCATATCCTTGATGAAGGCCAATTTGAATGGAGAACTCTGTCATGTAGCCTCCAGCAGTTCTCACACTCGTGACCACCCCATCGTACATGTCCTTAATTACCTTAATATACCTCACATGTACTCTTCTCTTTTCTAACACCCAACACATGCACTAAGAGTATGAATGTGTATAAGACTCCACAAATTGGAGATTAAAACCAACATCACGAGCCCATGGACTATGAAGAAGAGCTTTGGCTTCCACATCCACTCGCCACTCCGGTAGTCTTCTAGCTACAATCTTACAATTATTGTAATTGATAGTCGACACTATTAGTCCTTAAATTTTAAGCATAGTGACATTTTGATCCTTAAGCTTTTAATTATAGCGCATTAATCACTTATTTTCATTTTTTTGGCCATTGTAGTCCTTCATTAAAATTGACAAACAACTTTTAAAATTTAACAAACATAATGCGTTTATCACGTGATAACTTAAAATTTTACAAAAAAAGTTGAGTTATATGCAGAATTTTCTCTTTGTTACTATTAGAACTTGTTACAAACTATAATATTTTGTACTTACTATAATCAGTTATGTAAAATTTTTAGTTATTATACAACATTGATGTGATTGTTTACGTTAAATTTTAGAAATAGTTTATCATGGTGTCAGGGACTAAAACTGTTGAAAATCAAAAGTTCAAAGACTAATATGTTAAAATTAAAAATTTAAAGATCAACATGTCACTGTGCTCAAAGTTCAAGAACTAACACATCCAATAATCATTACAACTATTGTTATATTTTTTTTTGAAGGGAAATTATGTTGCATTACTCAATCAAAGCCATGGTGGCATTTACAAAACCAACAATACAACTAGGATATTCCTTAACCAATATCTATTTTCTTCCAAAGAAAACGATAACTTCACTAATGTGTGGATAGCCCTATATTACAATGACAAGAAATATAAACTACCATTAACTTCATCTGTTAAGATTTTAATGCTATTTAAAATGATAAATTTTACAGCATAGTAACGAGGTTCATTTACAACTCTTACTATATTTATTGAATTACTTTAAATCAACGATACACAAAATCCACTATCCTTTAAAGAATAAAATTAAAATAGAAAATATTAAATTACAGCTACATAATAATTTATTTTCGAACTTATTGTAATTGACTTTTATTTTAAAATTATTACGGGAATTACCAATTTGTGAATCTACAATTGACTTTCTTTTTTTTCCTGTTAAAACTAATCTACAATTTTCTTTTTTTTTGAAAAAAAAAAATCTATAACTAACGGTTAAACTCTTTTTCGCTGATCGATCCCGTTCACTTCACCGATTCGAGTTTAAAATTTGAGTTTTGCTACAGTAAAAAGTTCTCAAAAATAGTAACATCTAACTTTTTTACTATAATAAAAAATTTTCATATAAAATTACATCTCAACTCAAATTACAAATTCGAATCAGCGAAGTGAACGCCCTAAACTTATCACCCTTTCCAAATTCAAAATTCAAAAAAGAAAAAGAAAAAAAAAAACGGCTAGTAGCTTTTTTGTTAATGTAAAGTGTCCTAAAACCTCCAATCCCAAATCCGTCTACTTTCTCTCTCTATCTTGCCTTTGCCTCCATCCGTAAGGCTCCATCGTCGGGCATGTCTCAACGTCACTGCCGCCGGCGAGTTTCGCCGCCCGATATTCCTTACCGGTTATGTATCTGTGTGTCATATCTCTCTTCAGCAAGCGAGTCACTGTCAATTTGCAAGAAGGATCGCCGAAATTTTCTCCGACGATCGAAGGGAAAGGATCGGAGACAATTTCTCTATCGAAGGATCCGTCGCTCACCGATTTGCTTCGTCGCAAATTTCTCTCTCTCGCTCTAACTTCCTTTCTCCTCTCCCTCTCGCTCTAACTTCCTTTCTTCTCCATTGTCACGATCAACACGCCTGAAGGAGCCGGTCTGACGATCTTCGCATGTTTCTGTGGTATGAGAAAATACATTTTAGAAGGATTTTCATTTTCAATTCCACCACTGTCATCCTTTAAGCTTGTTTGCTCTTTAAAACGAACTTACTCTGTTTCTTTTCTTTTTTTTTCCTTTCTTTTCTGTTCACTTTTGTTCAACTCTCCCTCTCTCTTCCATAAGCTTGAAAAGAAGAGCCATGGCGCTTCTGTTCTCAGACCGCGGCCGTCTGAGCTATCCTTCTTCCACTCTAACCGTTTCCACAGCCACCCCGACGCCGCTCTCCGCCACACTTTTGCCGGAGCTTCCGTCTCTGCGATTTGTACCTCCGCCACTCCTCAGCACTCCTCGAAGGATTCAAATCCCGAGCGCCAGAAACCCTCGGTTCTCACTTTCCAGGAAGCAATTCAACGTCTCCAGGTCACTCTTCCACCATAGCCGTTCCATTCTTCACTTCAACTGTTTATTAAAATAGACCTTACGTCATTCTTGTTTAAATTTTCCCCTCCTGTCCAATAGTCTTTGTCCTCTGGGGATGTTGCCCTCTAGCCCGTTCCACATCAGCTTCCATAGCCCTCGCCCCCTCTCTTTGTTTGCATTTGTTGTTTCCTTTCTCTCCCCTGTTTCTCTATAATGAAATCTTTGGTGCGATTTCCACGCTCAGCCCATGGGTTTGGTTGATTTCACATTTATTTGTTTTTTCCTCTTCTCTTCTTATCTTATGATTTGTTATTTTAAGGATTTTGTTTGTTTCCGCGAGAATGTAATGTTAGATCATTTGGATTCCCGAAAAGTCTTAGAGTTGTGGATTCTGGCTTTTGGGTGGTTCCTCTTCAATGTCTGACAGAGGCGTCGTTTCACCATCTAGAATCACCGCCAAAGTGTTGAAGATGTCGACGACTGTGTTCCGGTGACAAACTTTGCTCCTTTTATTTCTTGATTCAATTTTTTTTTGGTAAATGTGTTGGGTTAACAAGAAAGTGTGGGAAAATCAGATGAAAGATTGGGCTTTTTCAATGCTAAAGCTATAATAGAAAAATTTCCATCCATTTTTATTCTGTTTATGTTAGATGCGACTGTTTGTTTGCTTTGGCTGAAAAAAATTGGATACTGAAGGTTTTGGTTATTGAGGGCAAAGAAAGGAAGTACTAAAGGGAAACTAAAATGTATCCAAAATGGATTTTTAGGGAAAAAAGAGGATATTATATCTAAAATAAACTGTTATGGCTCTTTCTGAAATTCACTTTCTAATATAAAGTTATTTGCTCATTACATATGGGCTCATATGGATGCTTTCTTTATGAGTTTTTCTATTCTAAAATTTATGTGTACGTTAATCTTTTAAGTTGGCAATTAATTATGGTCACTTCAGAAGCTGTATTGCTGGGTTTTATTTATTGCAATGCTCCCATAAAAGATCTATTCTGAGAAAAAAAAGTTGCCATATCGGAATTAACGGCTATTGCAGTTAATATTTTTGGTTTCTATTCAGTTATTATGGAAAAATACAGTTTTGTTGTTTCTTTGAAATTATGCTTTGAAATTTAAATGAAAACGTGGATGGATCATGGAACTTCAGGCATATGAAGGAGAAAGGTCATTCTTTCAGGTTCTTAAGGGGTAAGTTCCTGTATATCTATGATCTGAAATCATCTATAACTAATATAGAAGGGCGAATATCTTATATTGCTTTCGAAACAAAAAGCTCTTTTGGGCCTAGACATGCGTTTTTTTTCCTTTATATATATATATATATTATTTTTTTCTTCTTCTTGTTCCACTACCTCCCCCACTCTATCTTTTATTCTTTCATGCATTTCCTTTGTTTCTCTTGTTGCTGCACTCGATTTTGCTCAATTGTATATACATTTATTTTTTCTTTTTGGATTGCAGTTCTCTTGCTCTTCGTACACTTTAAAAAAAAAAAAAATTATTTATGTTAGGATTTTATTTGTTTTATGTTTGGGTTGCTGCTTTTATCATCTTAGTTGTACATTGAGACCTTTAAAAGTGGATGAAGTAGACATGCCCAAAACTACCTTGGCTTCCCTTTCAACTCATGAAGTTCGAGCGTGTTCTTTTGACGTCATTTGAATAGAACTTTGTAGAATTTGTTTGATGTACATTGCTAATTCGCTTTTGTGTGTAGTGTGTAGAAATGATTTTCTTGGTCAATATATGCTTAAGATCTAGAGTATCATATCTGAATACAAGATTACTTTAAAATGGATCCATGTAAAAAATAACATTGGTTTTTGAAAAGACTAAGGGTTGTGGGTCTTATTTTGGTAAACCATTAGGAATTGACAATGTTTAGTCTGTTTTTTTTCTTCATCTTAAAATTCCATCTCATTCTTTAAATTGTGTGTTTTTCAAAACTCTTGGACGAAATTATCTGGAGCTGACTGACTTCACATATAAAACAATATTGTCACAACTTCAACAAAAGCTTCTGTGCATATAGGGCTGTCTATTTTCTTGCAGGACAATTGTATTTGTAATTTGTTGACTATAGAAGCTACCCTTAAGACGATCCATTAAAAGTTAATTAATCCCATGTTATTATTGTTTAGAACATTTTGCACAATTATTTTATCTTTTTTTTTTTTTTTTTGGTTTTTTTGCAGAGCAAATGGATTTATGCAGCTTTGGACATCAAAGTGGAGCAAAGGGACCAGTACGACCATCTTTCAGTAAAAGATCATTCTTTAATTTTTAATATTTCATTTAATTGAGTCTTGAGAGAGTAGTTGTTAAGCTCAGCAATTGAATGAAAAGTTTAACTAAGTTCATATAAAAGCAAAATCAAATTAATAAAATACTCTAAATGACTGACAGGAAAGAGCAGGGTCAAACAACAATTAGAGAGGAAGTAAAACACAAAGGCGTCAGCAGATATATGGCTGTGGCCTATTGAAATGGTTTTGGACCACCTGCAAGCTCCCTTTTTTTTCTCTTTTTTGTTGCTCCTTGTTTCTTTTCAATTCCACCACTGTCATCCTTTAAGCTTGTTTGCTCTTTAAAACGAACTTACTCTGTTTCTTTTTTTTTTTCCTTTATTTTCTGTTTTTCAAGAGCCATGGCGGTCCTGTTCTCAGACCGCGCCCGTCTGAGCTATCCTTTTTCCACTCTAACCGTTTCCACCGCCACCCCGACGCCGCTCTCCGCCACCAATTTGCCGGACCTCCCGTCTCTGCGTTTTCTCCCTCCGCCACTCCACGGCACTCCTCGAAGGATTCAAATCCCGAGCGCCAGAAACCCTCAGTTCTCACTTTCCAGCAAGCAATTCAACGTCTCCAGGTCACTCTTCCACCATAGCCATTCTATTCTTCACTTCAACTATTTATTAAAATTGGCCTTTACGTTTACACACTTGTACATGTATAATGTAGATTATTTCGGCTACTTTGTTCATAGGGAATTGTAAGACATAGTAATATATTATTTCAGCTACTTTGTTCATAGGGAATTGTAAGACATTGTAATATAGCAAGTTGATGTGATCAGTTCTAAAATTGGCTCAACTAAAATTTTGAATTAATTTTATTGTGGCGCTATGACTAGAAATTGTCAAGTTTTTTGGTAGACGAAAATCATCATTTTTCTTTTAAAGATTATGTTGATAGGTATAATGACAGTAATAGAAGTTAAATGAATCTGCTAAATGTGCTGCTTTGATCATTCAACAATGGCTACAAAATATGTCATGGTTGAACGCCATATATTTTTATAATATTTATGCATTCCAAAGCATCGATAATACTGGAGTATTGGGCATCAGTTGGATTTGCCATACTGCAATGTAGCAATACTGGGGGAAAACGTCATTTTTGTTTAAATTTTTTCCCCTCTTTTAATCATTGATTATTTCTAATGCTATAAAAAACCATTTTTCTTCTTATCTTTATCTCGATTGAAAATATTTCCCACAAAGAAAGAGAGACACTAGCTTATAGTTATTTAGATAATTGTTCATGTTGTTGCATATTAATGAAAACTAAGTAACTTATAGTGTCTATGTTGTTTCTGCTTAAAAGTTGTACTTGGGTGTTATTGCAGTTTTTATATTTTTGCTACCTATATAATCTAATGTTCATGACTCTTTTACCTCACTAATTTCAGTTGTATTGATCAGGTTGATGCTGGGACTATGAATCCTTTGATCTACCTAAGGGCTCTTGGTCCTAAACTGTGGAATGCTGAGTAAGTGTGCGTAAGATTGTTGTAACAATTACAATCAGTAAAAAATTTACTAAATATGTATTGATTTCCTAAAAGACAGTGTTACCATCTCTTACAGTTTCATATGCGTTGCTTCTGATATTTTGGATGTATGTGCCAACCTGTGTCCTGCTTTTTTAAGAATATAAGATAAGCTATGACTGAAGTAATATGCAAGGCCAAGGTCCTCTTTTGTTGCTAACACATGCTAGCCTGTGAAACAGAGGAACACAACAAATCATACCTTGTGAATTAAAATTAAATGCTCCATGCTGCTTATACAAATCATACCAAAGAATGATACCGTTTGGTCCTTGTGTGTTTCATGAGAGAATATGGCTTTGAGCAAAAGTGAGTGCTATATGATGAAATGAAAATTTTACTAAGTTGTGTTCTTGTAAGTTTAAAATAAGCATATCTACAATCCAATATCAATTGTACTTGCACCTTTTTTTTGTGTGTGCACATTTTATTTAGTTTTACATCACTTGAACGTTTTTAGGCAGAAATGTGGTATTTGATGTAGAAAGTTTGTTGACCATATTAACTTGTTATCTATAAGTAATATAGAAATTTCAAAATGCTGCACTGTTTTGCCGAAACATGGTCGTTTTGGTTGAAAATTTGCGACCAAAACACGGTCGTTTTGGTTGAAAAAGGGGTTTGAATGGGACGACTTCTTCCTTCTCCATATTTCTTTATGTTCCTTTTTTTCCCTGCCTTTCCTATAGTCTTTGTCCTCTGGGGATGTTGCCGTCTAGCCTGTTCCACATCAGCTTGCATTGTCCTCGCCCCCACTCTTTGTTTGTATTTGTTGTTTCCTTTCTCTCCCCTGTTTCTCTATAATGAAATCTTTGGTGCGATTTCCACACTCAGCCCATGGGTTTGGTTGATTTCACATTTATTTGTTTTTTCCTCTTCTCTTCTCATCTTATGATTTGTTATTTTAAGGATTTTGTTTCTTTCAGTGAGAATGTAATGTTTGATCATTTGGATTTCCGAAAAGTCTTAAGAGTTGTGGATTCTGGCTTTTAGGCAGTTCGTCTTCAATGTCTGACAGAGGCGTCGTTTCATCATCTAGAATCACCGCCAAAGTGTTGACGATGTCACGACTATGTTCCGGTGACAAACTTTGCTCCTTTTATTTCTTGATTCATTTTTTTTTTTGGTAACTGTGTTGGGTTAACGAGAAAGTGTGGGAAAATCAGATGAAAGATTGGGCTTTTTCAATGCTAAAGCTATAATAGAAGTTTTTCCATCGATTCTTATTTTGTTTATGTAGATGCCACTGTTTGATTGTTTTGGCTGAAAAAAATTGCACACTGAAGGTTTTGGTTATTGAGGGCAAAGAAAGGAAGTGCTAAAGGGAAACTAAAATGATCCAAAATGGATTTTTTAGGGAAAAAAGAGGATATTATATCTAAAATAAACTGTTATGGCTCTTTCTGAAATTCACTCATTAATATAAAGTTATCTGTTCATTACATATGGGCTCATATGGATGCTTTCTTTATGAGTTTTTCTATTCTAAAATTTTTGTGTAAGTTAATCTTTTAAGTTGGCAATAAATTATGGTCACTTAAGAAGCTGTATGGCTGGGTTTTATTTATTGCAATGCTCCCATAAAAGATGAAAAAAAAAAAAAAAGTTGCCATATAGGAGTTAACGGCTGTTTCTTTTCAGTTATTATGGAAAAATACAGTTTTGTTGTTTCTTTGAAATTATGCTTTGAAATCTAAGTGAAAACGTGGGTGGATCATGGAACTTCAGGCATATGAAGGAGAAAGGTCATTCTTTCAGGTTCTTAAGGGGTAAGTTCCTGTATATCTATGATCTGTAATCATCTATAACTAATATAGAAGAGCGAATATCTTATATTGCTTTCGAAACAAAAAGCTCTTTTAGGCAGGCCTAGACTAGCGTTTTTTTTTTTTTCCTTTATATATATATATATATATTATTCTTCAGCTTCTTCCACTACCTCCTCTCTATCTTTTATTCTTTCATGCATTTCCTTTGTTTCTCTTGTTGGTGCACTCGATTTTGCTCAATTGTATACTGTTAGTTTACCAACCCATTCCAAAAGCTTAAGCTGTTAGGAGGTGGGCTAACAATGCTTTTATACTTTAACACTCCCCCTCACGTTGGGCTGGACAATGGGCAATCGTGTGGGTAAATTGATTGGAAAGCTTAACACGTGAATATTTAAGCTGGGATATATTAAAAACCAAACACATGATGACAATTTAAATGGGGATAAAGAGTGCAATTACGGGGGTTTGAACTCAGGACCTCCCGCTCTGATACCATGTTAGTTTACCAATCCATCTTAAAAGCTTAAGCTGTTAGGAAGTGGGCTAACAATAGTTTTATACTTTAACATATACATTTATTTTTTCTTTCGGGATTGCAGTTCTCTCTCTTCATACACTTTTTTTTAAAAAAAAATTATTTATGTTAGGATTTTGTTTGTTTTAGGTTTGGATTGCTGCTTTTATTATCTTCGTTGTACATAGAGACCTTTAAAAGTGGATGAAGTAGACATGCCCAAAACTAGCTTGGCTTCCCTTTCAACTTATGAAGTTCGAGCGTGTTCTTTTGATGTCATTTGAATAGAACTTTGTAAAATTTGTTTGATGTACATTGCTAATTTGCTTTTGTGTGTAGTGGTGTAGAAATGATTTTCTTGGTCAATATATGCTTAACATCTAGAGTATCATATATGAATACAAGATTACTTTAAAATGGATCCATGTAAAAAATAACATTAGTTTCTGAAAAGACTAAGGTTGTGGGTCTTATTTTGGTAAAACCATTAGGAATTGACAATGTTTAGCCCTTTTTTTTTCTTCATCTTAAAATCCCATCTCATTCTTTAAATTATGTGTTTTTCAAAACTCTTGGACGAAATTATCTGGAGCTGACTGACTTCACATAGCCTGTGCATATGGGGCTGTCTATTTTCTTGCAGGACAATTGTATTTGTAATTTGTTGACTATAGAAACTGCCCTTAAGACGACCTATTAAAAGTTACTGTATCTAGACATGATCCATTAAAAGTTAATGAATCGCATGTTATTATTGATTAGAACATTTTGCACTATTATTTTATCTTTTTTCTTTTGTTTTTTTTTTTGGCAGAGCAAATGGATTGATGCAGCTTTGGACATCAAAGTAGAGCAAACGGACCAGTATGACCATCTTTTGGTAAAAGATCATTCTTTAATTTTTAATATTTCATTTAATTGAGTCTTGAGCGAGTAGTTGCCAGTTGCTAAGCTCAGTAATTGAATGGAAAGTTTAACTAAGTTCATACAAAAGCAAAATTAAATTAATAAAACACTCTGAATAACTGACTGGAAAGAGCAGGGTTAAACAACAATTAGATAGGAAGTAAAACACAGAAGCGTCATATGGTTGTGGCCTATTGAAATTGTTTTGGACCACCTGCAAACTCCCTTTTTTTTTTTTCTCTTTTTTGTTGCTCCTTGTTTCTTTTCAATTCCACCACTGTCATCCTTTAAGCTTGTTTGCTCTTTAAAACGAACTTACTCTGTTTCTTTTTTTTTTTCCTTTCTTTTCTGTTCACTTTTGTTCAACTCTCTCTCTCTCTCTCTTCCAAAAACTTGAAAAGAAGAGCCATGGCGCTTCTGTTCTCAGACCGCGGCCGTCTCAGCTATCCTTCTTCCACTCTAACCGTTTCCACCGCCACCCCGACGCCACTCTCCGCCACCAATTTGCCAGAGCTTCCGTCTCTTCAATTTGTACCTCCGCCACTCCCCAGCACTCCTCGAAGGATTCAAATCCCGAGCGCCAGAAACCCTCAGTTCTCACTTTCCAGCAAGCAATTCAACGTCTCCAGGTCACTCTTCCACCATAGCCATTCCATTCTTCACTTCAACTGTTTATTAAAATTGACCTTCACGTTTACACACCGGTACATGTATAATGTAGATTATTTCGGCTACTTTGTTCATAGGGAATTGTAAGACATAGTAATATAGCAAGTTGATGTGATCAGTTCTAAAATTGGCTCAACTAAAATTTTGAATTAATTTTATTGTGGCGCTATGACAAGAAATTGTCAAGTTTTTTGGTAGGCGAAAATCATAATTTTTTTTTTTAAAGATTTTGTTGATAGGTATAATGACAGTAATGGAAGTTAAATGAATCTGCCAAATGTGCTGCTTCGATCATTCAACAATGGCTTGTTGTTAATGACAAAATATGTCATGGTTGAACGCCATATATTTTTTATAGTATTTATGCATTCCAAAGCATCGATAATACAGGAGTATTGGGCATCAGTAGGATTTGCCATACTGCAATGTAGCAATACTGAGGTAAACGTCATTCTTGTTTAAATTTTTTCCCCTCTTTTAATCATTGATTATTTCTAATGCTATAAAAAAACCATTTTTCTTCTTATCTTTATCTCGATTGAAAATATTTCCCACAAAGAAAGAGAGATACTAGCTTATAGTTATTTAGATAATTGTTCATGTTGTTGCATATTAATGAAAACTAAGTAACTTATAGTGTCTATGTTGTTTCTGCTCAAAAGTTGTACTTGGGTGTTATTGCAGTTTTTATATTTTTGCTACCTATATAAACTAAGGTTCATGACTCTTTTGCCTCACTAGTTTCAGTTGTATTGATCAGGTTGATGCTGGGACTATGAATCATTTGATCTACCTGAGGTTTCTTTGTCCTAAACTGTGGAATGCTGAGTAAGTGTGGGTAAGATTGTTGTAACAATTACAATCAGTAAAAAATTTACTAAATATGTATTGATTTCCTAAAATACAGTGTTACCGTCTCTTACAGTTTCATATGCGTTGCTTCTGATATTTTGGATGTATGTGCCAACCTGTGTCCTGCTTTTTTAAGAATATAAGATAAGCTATGACTGAAGTAATATGCAAGGGCAAGCTCCGCTTTTGTTGCTAAGACATGCTAGCCTGTGAAACAGAGGAACACAACAAATCATACCTTGTGAATTACTATTAAAGGCTCCATGCTGCTTAAACAAATCATACCAAAGAATGATACCTTTTGGTCCTTGTGTGTTTCATGAGAGAATATGGCTTTGGGCAAACGTGAGTGCTATTTGATGAAATGAAAATTGTACTAAGTTGTGTTCTTGTAAGTTTAAAATAAGCATATCTACAATCCAATATCAATTGTACTTGCACCCTTTTTTTTGTGTGCACATTTTATTTAGTTTTACATCACTTAAACGTTATTAGGCAGAAATGTGGTATTTGATGTAGAAAGTTTGTTGACCATATTAACTTGTTATCTATAAGTAATATAGAAATTTCAAAATGTTGCACTGTTTTTCCGAAACGCGGTCGTTGTTGTTGAAAATTTGCGACCAAAAACACGGTCGTTTTGGTTGAAAAAGGGGTTTGAATAGGACGACTTCTTCCTTCTCCATATTTCTTTATGTTTTTTTTTCCCCTCCTTTCCAATAGTCTTTGTCCTCTGGGGATGTTGCCCTCTAGCCCGTTCCACATCAGCTTCCATAGCCCTCGCCCCCCTCTCTTTGTTTGCATTTGTTGTTTCCTTTCTCTCCCCTGTTTCTCTATAATGAAATCTGGTTGATTTTACATTTATTTGTTTTTTCCTCTTCTCTTCTTATCTTGTGATTTGTTATTTTAAGGATTTTGTTTGTTTCAGCGAGAATGTAATGTTAGATCATTTGGATTCCCGAAAAGTCTTTAAGAGTCGTGGATTCTGGCTTTTGGGCAGTTCCTCTTCAATGTCTGACAGAGGCGTCGTTTCACTATCTAGAATCACCGCCAAAGTGTTGACGATGTCACGACTGTGTTCCGGTGACAAATTTGCTCCTTTTTTTTCTTGATTCAATTTTTTTTTTTTTTTGGGTAAATGTGTTGGGTTAACGAGAAAGTGTGGGAAAATCAGATGAAAGATTGGGCTTTTTCAATGCTAAAGCTATAATAGAAGTTTTCCCATCCATATTTCTTGTGTTTATGGTAGATACGACTGTTTGCTTGCTGTGGCTGAAAAAAATTGGATACTGAATGTTTTGGGTTATTGAGGGCAAAGAAAGGAAGTGCTAGAGGGAAACTGAAATGTATCCAAAATGGATTTTTTTAGGGGGAAAAAAGGATATTATATTTAAAATAAACTGTTACGGCTCATTCTGAAATTCACTCTCTAATATAATGTTATTTGCTCTTTATGAGTTTTTCTATTCTAAATCTTTTGTGGGTTCTAATAAGTTAATCTTTTAAGTTGGCAATAAATTATGGTCACTTCAGAAGCTGTATTGCTGGGTTTTATTTATTGCAATGCTCCCATAAAAGATCTATTCTCAGAAAAAAAAAAAAAAAAGAAGTTACCATATAGGAATTAACGGCTATTGCTGTTAACATTTTGGGTTTCTATTCAGTTATTATGGAAAAATACAATTTTGTTGCCTCCTTGAAATTATGCTTTGAAATCTAAATGAAAACGTGGATGGATCATGGAATTTCAGGCATATGAAGGAGAAAGGTCATTCTTTGATGTTCTTAAGGGGTAAGTTCCTGTATATCTATGATCTGTAATCATCTATAACTAATATAGAAGAGCGAATATCTTATATTGCTTTCGAAACAAAAAACTCGTTTGGGTCTAGACAAGCGTTTTTTTTTCCTTTACATATATATATATGTATATATATATATATATATATGTTTTCTCTTCTTCTTGTTAGCTTCTTCCACTACCTCCCCCCTCTCTGTATCTTTTATTCTTTCATGCATTTCCTTTGTTTCTTTTGTTGCTCCACTTGATTTTTCTCTCTCTCTCTTTGTTTGTTTGTTTTTTTTTTTTTTTTTTTTTTTTTTTTTTTTTTTTTTTTATTTTTATTTTTTTTTTGGTGCCGTGGGCTCATGGTTTTGGTGCCATTTTCTTGATCAGTTGTATACATTTGTTTTTTCTTTCAGGATTGCACTTCTCTTTCTCTTCATACAGTTTTTTTCTAAATTTATTTATGTTAGGAGTTTGTTTGTTTTAGGTTTGGATTGCTGCTTTTATTATCTTAGTTGTACATAGAGACCTTTAAAAGTGGATGAAGTAGACATGCCCAAAACTAGCTTGGCTTCCCTTTCAACTTATGAAGTTCGAGCTTGTTCTTCTGATGTCATTTGAATAGAACTTTGTAAAAAAATTTTGTGTACATTGCTAATTTGCTTTTGTGTGTGGTGTGTAGAAATGATTTTCTTGGTCAATATATGCTTAAGGTCTAGAATATCATATTTGAATACAAGATTACTTTAAAATGGATCCATGTAAAAAATAACATCGGTTTCTAAAAAGACCAAGGGTTGTGGGTCTTATTTTGGTAAAACCATTAGGAATTGACAATGTTTAGTCTTTTTTTTTTTTATCTTAAAATCCCTTCTCATTCTTTAAATTGTGTGTTTTTCAGAACTCCTAGACGCAATTAACTGGAGCTGACTGACTTCACATATAAAACAATATTGTCACAACTTCAACAAAAGCTTATGTGCATAAGGGTTGTCTATATTCATGCAGGACAATTATAAGTATTTGTAATTTGTTGATTATAGAAGCTACCCTTAAGACGATCCATTAAAAGTTACTGCATCTAGACATGATCCATAAATGGTTAATGAATCGCATGTTATTATTGTTTAGAACATTTTGCAATATTATTGTCTTTTTTTTTGTGTGCAGAGCAAATGGTTTGATGGAGCTTTGGACATCAAAGTGAACAAGGGGATCAGTATAGCCATCTTTCAGTAAAAGATCATTCTTTAATTTTTAATATTTCATTTAATTGAACCCTGAGAGAGTAGTTGCCAGTTGCTAAGCTCAGTAATTGAATGGAAGGTTTTACTAAGTTCATACAAAAGCAAAATCAAATTAATAAAACACTCTAAATGACTGACTAGAAAAGGCAGGGTCAAACAACAATTAGAGAGGAAGTAAAAGACAAAGGCGTCAGCATATATATGGTTGTGGCCTATCGAAATGGTTTTGGACCACCTGCAGGCTCCTCCCTGTTTTTTTTCTCTTTTTTGTTGCACCTTGTTTCTTTTCAAAGCAAATCCTGACCTCTTGAGGGATTTTTTTTTTTGACACTAGAGTGCATTCTCTTACATTTTGCTTGTAAATACTATCCAAGTCTCTTGCTTTCATTTTGTTCGTAAGCACTTAACTTTCTTCTTGTCTTTGTTCTCTTCGTAGGAGTTGATTCTTCTATTTCTACTGTTATAGCAAATGAAATGAGCACTGTTTTGTTATTCTAACTAGCATGGAAAAACAAATGCTCTTGTGCTTCAATGCAAATTTGTCATCAAGTAGTGTACTTTATAACCTATAATTGCACAAGCATATCAACATTATTGTGCTTTTGTGGAATTCTGCTCATTAAGAAGTGCACTTCTAATTTCTAACCTATAATTGCATAAGCATCCAGCGGTCATTCACTTATGCAATTTTGTATAGATGTCTCTATTGATTTTTTGTTAGCTTAATTATTTAAAGTTGCTTGATTTCAAAAGTATTTCATACCCAAATGAGAGTTCTCATTCCTGTTCCATTTTTTTTAAGAGTTAACTAAAAGTTCTTATAATTTTTTTTTTCATATGGTGTGTCTTTCACTATTTAACTTTCACATGGTGCCTCTTTCACACGGCATCTCTTATATAAGCTACATGTTTGGTTCCCAAAACTGATGCATTTCTTGGACATTTATTTCAGGTTATTATCCATACCTATGGTTTATCTTTTCCTTTATTTTGCATTAATCTGATATTCTTTTTATTTCTTTGCTCTTGTGCCGCTAAAAACCCTGTTTGGTTAGCTAATTTAACATTCGTCAATTCAATAAACTACCATTTCTTGTCAAACGGAGGAGAAAGACAAAGTATTCCCTTTTTATCTTGTGTGTGATGATTGCATTGATGGCAGTGCTAGGCCTTTATAAAGTTACCAGTGTAAGTGGTTACGTGCTACAATAAACTTTTGATTGGAGGTACGTGGAGCCTAGTATTCAGCCAGACGACAGTTGTGATGGTGAAAACCCCAATAGGCTTCAAAGACACGCAATTTCAGGTATTGACCTATACTTTTGGTGATACATGGAGCTTAGTGGAAATTCTAGTTTTGAGTTTCTCATTTGTTTCTATTTCAGGTTATATTAAAGGCTGAAGCAGGAAATTCACATACTTTAGAGCAAGCTTGCTACAAAGACCCTCTAAAAATCACAGCACTGGCAGAATTGGAAGAAGAGAATGCAGAAGTGAGTAGTCAGTTGGCTTGTTTGGAAGCAAGATCAACCGGTACAGCTAGAGGAAGGCAGTTTGAGTCTTTGGGGCTATCCAAACGTGAGCTCAAACCACTTAAGCCATCTATAGAAGAACCCCAATTTCTGGAGCTAAAGCGTTTGCCTTCCCACCTTTGATATGCATTCTTGGGGGAAGTAGAAATGCTACCAGTTATTGTATTAGCTGAACTAACTGAAGACTAGGAGCAGAAGTTACTTGAGTTGTTGAGGAACTTCAAAAAAGCAATAGGATTGACAAGTGCAGGTATCAAGGGAATTAACCCATCCGTATGCATGCATAAGATTTTGCTAGAGGAATGCTACAACAATTCTGTGGAACAACAAAGAAGGCTAAATCCAATCATGAAGGAATTTGTAAAGAAATAAGTCATTAAATGGTTGGATGTAGGGATCATTTGGTTCCTATCTCTGATTTCAGGGCTATGCGAAATGCATGGAGTGGTATTCGAGGGTGGAAAGAAAAGGCTGAAGATAACTCGAAAGATTATTCCAGCTACAGTGGCTAGGATTTCACAAGAAAACAATGTTCAAAGAGCCATGTCTGACCACTCTGATAAAGACCCTCTAGAGACACCAACTCAACCTTCCTCGAGCAATCCCGCACCTCCCCCGAGCTCTAAGGATTCAGTGTCCAGTCGCTTATCCAGTTTAGAGAGCAGGATTTCTCTTGTTTAGCTAACTCAACATGGCATTCTTGAGGAGCGTCGGCTGGCCTGGAAAAGTCAGCAGGACGTGTGGAAGTATATGAAGGCTTGAGATGTTGCAATGCAAAGACACTTCAGGGAAAATGCCAAAAGGCTCCACAAATTCCCCAACTTTCCCACGCATGTTCTCGATCCCCCTGCTGGTCAGCTCGCCGATGACACCAATATTGCAGTGGAAGCAGATGAGTACGGCCAGATCACAGCTTGTGGACCTTTAGGGATGCCCCTCCACCCTCCTTTTTCTTGTGTTATTTCTTTTATATGTTTAGTTGATTTTTTTTTTTGTTGTGCCTTATTTCTTTTTCAGCAGTGAGGACACTGTTGATTTCAAGTTTAGGGGTGTATTTCCTATTTGTGTTGAGGCCAAGTTGTTTGATTTAGAATGGTTGTCTTCTTTTTTGTGTTTTGTTATTTTTAGCGTGTTTTGTGATGTTTTGTGTTTAGGGAGAACCTCTTTTTGTCAACTTTTGTAGTGTGAAGGGTGTGGGGTCTTCAATGATGAGGTAGGCTAAGTTAAGACATGCTTTTGTGATAGATTAACTTGAATTGGATATAAGTGAAAACCCATTGAACCTGACTTTTGAATGCAATTCTCTATGCAACTCTTTCCACAACATTCGTAGTGTTACTTCCCGAGAGCTTATTGATGGCTAGATTACTGTGAGAGCTTAAGTTTCTAGAATTGACCTAGAGACTCCTTTAAGGTGAAATTCTACAAAGCCTAGTATGAGCATGAGCCCCATGTTCACTAATGAAACCATTCTGTTCACTTTCGTTCAATATAAAAAAAAAAAATTTACTCCACTGTCTTGGTGCTTAGTAACCAAGAGTGAGCATGAGCCTCATGTTCACTTTTGTGTCAAACGGTAAACCGAGATAAGAGTATGCAAAGCACTTTGAGTTGCGATTTTGTTGAGTAATCGGGTGTCTTCATCACAAATGTTGGCATTCGCATAAAAAGGCAATTGTTGCATTACAAAGAAGTTTAAAAAAAAAAGAGAGAAAGACAAGAATAAAAATCAAAAGAATGGGGAATTAGGTATCAAGTTAAGAAGAAGTTGAGTCTTAAGTTTGATTCCAAGTGTTAGGTGATTCTTCATTAGTGGAGAAGGAGTCAATAGGTCAACACTTCTAGGCTTGATGATTGTGGTCTAGTTTGAAGTGGGTGATCGAGAAGGAAGCACTATTGATGTGTATGTGTACACACACGAGGGAAGAGCATTTAAAATGAAGGAGAAATGGGTCGATCTTATAATTCAAAGAAAGTTGGTGTAGAGCTTAAGCATGCAAAGGAAAAAAAAAAAAAAAAAAAAGATCCTCTGAGAAACTTAACCACACACCTTGAACCAACATGGTTGACTAAAAAGGGAATTCTTCTAATGTCATTTGTTTTTGTGCTTTTTTTTTTGTATTGTCATTTGTTTTGTAGTGTCATTGCTCGAGGACGAGCAATACTTTAAGTTTGGAGGTGTAATAACTGAAGGAATTAAAGTTATTTTAGGCATTTCTAGGCTTATAATTAGCTTATCCAAAGGTTTAGTTGTTAATTTTTTGCTTTATTTGCTCAACTTTTGGTTCATGTGGTGCACTCTGTTGAGATTTATTTGTGTGCTATTTCTGTGATATTTTTAAAGAAAAATGCTAACGTGTGTCCAAGAGGTGTCGTTTCTGATCTACAGGTTTTGTGAGGATAAATGTTGTAGCATTTGCTACAGTAAAAATATGACAGCAGGCAGATAGTGAATGACGTCAGCACATAACTTTGCGAGAGAATTAAAGAAAAGAGCACAGAAGATGGATTTCGTGCTTAGTCAGCTAGCCCCAACCTCTGAGTAGGAGCCACATTAGCATCCTTGATTGCCCTAAAGATAAGTGCACGTTATTTTCCTTAAGAAAAGTGCCGCTGGGGGCAATTGGAGGGCAGAGGAGAAAATAGAAACAGAGGCACCAAGTGAACCAAGAGGCAGCAGAGAGCAAAAAGAAAACCAGAGAGAAAGAAAGAAAGGAGGACCAGTACTGGAGACTAATTGGAGCTGAAATTAGGAGAAGAATAGCTAGAAGAGGACACCACCATTCTTTGGAATTCATTTTTGTCGTTACTTTCATTCTCCTAATTTGGTTTATTCTTCCTCTTTCTGTACTTGAAGGATGATTGTCTATTTTGTTGTGTTTAACCAGACAAGTATGAGCTAGATATATTTGGCTGGGATGATAAAGTACCCAGATATGTAATTTGACGTTATGTATGCTCACTTTTGCTAAATTGATACTAATTAGTTTGTTCAATAATCTCTCTTGTTCATTGTTTGTTTATTGACCGGCCATCATAAGCAAACTATAATGCTTTTAATTTGCTGGAAAGTTGATTGGGGTTATATCAATATTGAACAATGTGTTGTTTAGCTAAATTTCATAAAGAAGTCTAGTTGATTTGTGAGTAGTATAGGAATATACACTTGTCTCACATAGGCCAATTGAAACCTATGCTTAACACAACCTCATAGCAAAAGTCGTAGCATAAATAGCCCAAGTTGCAGTGAAGGGGAAATTGAGTCCCAATCCCTCACATAGATTGATTTTCACCTTTGATAACTGAGTGTGCATTTAGTTACTTCTGTTTACTGCAATTCTTTTAGTCTTTGTAGTTGAATCAAACCATTAAATTTGTTGACATTGCATCTCTTGGATCTTATTAGGAAAAATATTGATAACTTTCTCCATAGGAATGATACTCTGCTCATTCACTTTATTACTTGTTTGGCACGTGCACTTGCATAGTGAACTTTACACCGACAATGAACTCATTAGAAAGTGAGTTCGCTAGGCCACAAGCTCGTCAATATGCGAGCTTACTAGGCCGTGAGCTTGCCAGACCACGAGCATGTTGGATTAACATCGCTTTGTTGGTCCTTCCGGTGTTAAGGACATTTAGGCTTAGTGTGGTAGTGCGGTGAATTTTAAAAAAATTACTTTTAGTTGTGCTGAAGGAAGAATCAGCTGTTACAAAAAGAAGCTGAGTGTTTGGTAAACTATAATTACAGTAACTGTGTTGGTTCCAAAATCAATGTAATTGCGTTTAGTAAATAATGAGATTGAATTACTGTGGATAATTAAAAATTACGACATTATTATATTAAACTATAATATATATTTATTATTATATTTAATATAATATAAAAAACTATTATTATATAATTATGATATAGAATATAATAATATTATTAAAATAATAACTGAAATAATTGAAAATAATGATTATATTATACTATAATATAATATATATAATAACAATATAATATATATTTATTATTATATTTAATATAATACAAAAAACTATTATTATATAATATATTATATAACTATAATATGGAATATAATAATATTATTAAAATAATAAACGATTATATTATATTATACTATAAAATAATATATATAATTACAATATAATGTATAATTTTATTATTATTAATATAATAAATATAATTATATCAATTCAATATAATATATAATATATTATAAAATAATAATTACAATATCATATTATAATTATAATATCATATTATTAAAATAAATATAATATTATTATAATATCATATTATATGATAAAATAATAATATTATTAGAGTTATTAATATAATTATGATACTATTTTTTACAATATTACTATATATTATATTATATTATATTACGTGTTTAAATTTTAAATTAGGAAGATTGTAAATTTTAAATTTTATTAGGGGTATTATGAAAGTTTCATTAATTGTACTATGTTGATTCCCGCACAATCTAAAAGCTAAAGTTGTCTTTAGACTACTTCTGATTTTGGCTATAGATTCTTGAAAAATTTTTCAATAAACATTTTTAAGGAGATTTACCAAACACTAAAATCAATTTCTATTATAAGCAAAAGCTGATTTTGGGAGGGAAAAGTAATACCTAAAGCCTTACTCCTCCCTTATTTGGTAAGCAAGTTCTTTGTTTCCGAGCTTTAAGATTGTGCTAGGAGCTATAAGATTGAGCTAGAAGCTCTAGCGGCGAACTTCTAACCTAGAGCATGTTTGGTTGGAGGATTGAGGAATTCAGATCCTACGATTAAGGTTGAAACTGTGTTTGGAAGTCCAAAATAGGTTAGAATCAAAATGGGTGATTGAGATCATTTGGGCTCAATGATTGAGATCATTTTGGAATCA